CTGAATTGAGAACTCGTAATACATTATGGGAAATCGCTCGATAATTCACTACTTGAACAGGCCAAAGTTAAAATGTCCCTCGTAAACATCTGTAATATCGAGTAATGCGGCAGAGTGAATTATTTGAGCCCAGATACGAGCTGGAAAGAACGGCCAGGTTAAAGAAAGTCTCGCATGCGAAAAACGATTCAGTTTCATTCCAAGAATAGCCAGACCATAGTGCACTTAAGTCCCACTCGGGGCGAGCGAGCTTTTTCTACAAAATAATAGCCGGGAGCGGCGGTTCGCCGCTGGAAATCGCTCCGAATCGCATCTCGGCGAACGCGCGCGCGACGATCACAGCGCCGCCGTCGCCCGGTTCTCCGGAAACGCGAGCTACCGATTTCTAATATCGATCGCGCCGCTTCGTCGATAAGCAGCAGGCGCGCGAGGGGTCAGGTTGGCACACCTGCGGCAAACGCGCAGCGCGTCGGCTGAAAATCGATGCACTGCCGGTCAAAGACCCGGAAGTCCGCCTGACACACGGGGGAGAGCTCTCGGCTGTCCGTGCACGCGCCTTGCCGCTCGAACTCGCGGCCGCGTGCATCGGAATCGCATTTGAATTCGAGCGACTCTCCATGCTCATTCGCGCGCGCGCGCGCTCCATCGTGGCGATTTGGCTCCGAGCAGCGAACGGACGCTCCGCTTTAATTATTGATTGTGTTTGCTTCGCCTGCGCGCCACGCCAACGATTTGTTGACGGAGACCCCGTGCACGCCCGCGCGCACCACCTTCATCGGATGATTAGTGTGCTTTTCAATTTTTTTTTTATACCGACGTTTTCATCCACTCGACCGGTTGTTCAACTCGGCTTTTAAAATTGCCGATATTATCCTAGAACTTGTCGATGCAGATAATGCAATCCTTTGGTTTTCTTCTGAGACGATAACTGTTTTTTAATATATTTGTCTTTCGAGCCTATCAAGAATGGAACGAAACATTATTCAAACTTACGACTAATTGAAATACAGCCTTGCCAACAATCAGTGCACAAATTCTATCGTTGCATTGACTTCAATGAATGTGCCATACAACATCTTCCTGACCTATGTATAGTATTTTTAAATTCAAAAAATGTCAGTTTTATTGCCGGTTTCTATAATATTCTTCTAAATACCTAATGAAGGACCAAAACCAAAGCGTAATTCTGCTCTTCTACCCGATGCTGTAGTTATTGTTATTAGTCTCGTGCAAGCCAATTGTGACACTTGTCCCGATGTTTGGGGAGTGCCAACGCTGGGCACGCAATTGCTTCCAAAACACAATACAATGAATACTTTCATAGCAAAATTAGCAACAGCTATTAAAAAATTTAAAGTATTCTACAGGTACACGACTCGCGTATTCCGGTTGTTTGCTGTTTACGAGTACATGCGCGCGTACGTCCTTCGTGCGTCGTTTGCTATCTCCGGACTTCGAAAAAGTCTGATAAATGTATTATAATTAAATAATAGTGAAGTTTCATAATTACTCATCTGAATGCCGATATAAGTAATATAAGTAAAAACGATGAAAGCTTTAGCATCGATAAAAGAGGGGAGGGGGAGAAAAAAGAAAGAGAAAGAGAACAGCGGATTGCCATATCTAATATCGCATGCGTCGCAGTATAGAAGTAGGCTATTTGATACACGACGACGGCGCAACCCTCTTACACGTTCCCTGCGAGTTCTGCCAAGGCCTCTTCTCTCCCATGTTCGCGAAAAAAATACACGAGGGAAAGATAGAGAGAGAGAGAGAGAGAGAGAGAGAGAGAGAGGGAGGGAGGAAAATTGATAAGAATCGTCGCGTGTCTGAGTAACACAGTGACAGAAAGTAAAAGCTCAATAGATAAAAATAGATTCGAGCGGTCAATTAACCGTGAGCTTTTTGCCAGTTTGACGATTTGTCTTTTGTCTTGAGAGCTGTGTATATGTGTAAATGCGCGTGTAGAAAGGAGAGCATTCTCCTATAAACTTAGCTGCACCTATCAAGATGTCGTTAAGGAGGTCAAGCCACGCTGCTCACGCGAGCTTTGAAAACGCGACGACGAATGACTCGACGCTCGATCGGGAAAATCTGAGGCTCCTGACGATATGTTGTTTTTTTCTCTTTTTTTTTGCCTGTCTGGTGAGCTTTCGATTTTGCTATTTTCTTTCGTGTCGGGGTGTGATTTTTCGTTCGACGATGTGGCTTTTAGTGATTGCTCATGTGTGCAACGATCCGTTTTTTGCGGCTAGATGAGCTTTTATGTATAAGCTGTAAAGCAATATCTTTTCCTGATATTTTGCATGAGAAATTTGATGAAAAGAATATGATATTTAAATCCCTCTAGATATCGAATGAAAAGATCTGGTCAATCAAGCAGGACAAGAATGTAACGTAATCGAGGGGGAATTTATAGATAAAGTCTGCGTGGTTTTACGCTTGACAACTTTATGGCCAACAATCCTTTCGTTCTATAAAAAAGTAGTAAATGGGAACTACCGCAAGTGTATCGTTAAACCTGTTGAATAAAAAATAGGATCCGCGTCGCAATATGTACCTTTAGTGTTAAGAGTGCCAACATATTTTCGAAATGACATAGCATTCGGAGTGCGTTTTACATTCGATCAGTTGCACTTGAATTAAATGTCGCGGGTTATACATTGCATGATTTTATGTATTATTCACGAGACGGTTAAAATGAATTTGCTCAATATGGATAGATTATATATAGATGCTTCATGCTGCGTCGTGCTTCTTTGGGTAAGCTTTGTGTATCAATTTTGAGTAACGTTTCAGCTGATTGGATAAAATATTTTACCAATCTGAGAATCGAAGACCCAAGCCGAATGCGCGATAAAATATATGGGTTCGGCCTGTCCTCCCCCCGTTGAAAACATAATTTATTTTCGTTTGTCGACCGGAGCAATGCTTGCTATCAATCTTCAGACGAAAGCCGAAGCTCGTACGATGTCAAACGTACACGCAAAGAATTCATTACCAAAGCGAAGGCGATTTCAAGTGCAATAATTTGAAAAGTGCGCGGGATGCTAGCCTAGTTAACGATCTTTGGTCGTTGCAATCTCGTTTAAAACATTACGCTGTAGAAAATTAAAAGAAAGCATCATTTTACGATGCCAACACGGGCTTCAGCAATAACGCGACGTTACGAAAAACGATTACGAGAGAGTGGTAGCACGGCGGGGGGGAAAGAGCGCGCGCTCGGATGAAAATTTCTATTTTTTATGCCATGAAAAAGAAAGCAAAAAATAAAGTACGTAGCGCGCATCTTCGTGCAATACAAAAAGAGTGCAAACATCGTAGTGCAACACGAACACAAACGCACGCGCGCGCGCGCGCGCATCATTACGAGCACGCAATGGCGTATGGTTCAGTACGCGATCGCGCGATTATCACGCGAGCGGATGTTTCGATGTGACGAAGATACGCGTCTCGGACGCGAAATGCCGCGGGACGATGGGTAGGTCTTTACTGCGAGAAGCCTCCGCTGTTCCGAGGATCGCCGACATTGAAAAGCATCGTTTGGAGAATAAATCGATATATCAAACGCAACTGTTCAAATCGACATTTGACCGGGCGAAGTACAGCAAAATTACGCTTGTCTTCGCAACTTTGGTGCTATTCGCGAAGGGACGAAGGATATCCTTTGAAAGAATCGTTGATCGAGCGCGCAGTGGATGACGAGCGGAGTGCACAAAGCGAGGCGCGAATTTCTCGTCGCAAATGTATTTCCTTAACCTAGTTAGACCAAAGGAAAAAGAGAGGACGCGCGAGCACTGATCACAACTATCGAAATCAATGCTACACTGTCAATATTGGATAGTGGTCGAGTCAGAGCTCGTAAACGTCTCGATCGTGAAAAATTAGAGCGGAGAGATAAATTTCTTGGGGGAGTGAACCCTCCCCGGGCAAGTTTGTCCATGGACGCTCGCGCTTATAACGATGAAGTGTGCACACAATACGAGTCAAAGCGCGAGTTTGGAATAGCATATAGAGGGGAAAGGGAGCGAGAGAGCGCAATTGATTTCTTCCGGCGCCGACTGCACGCGCTCGGCTGGCGCCAGTGCGCTCCTTTTTATGCGCGTCGTCGCCGGCGAGCGAACGAGCCAGAGAGAGTCGTTGCCGCTGGCCCTTTTCCACCCCCCCCCCCCCCAGAAAATTACGCTACGGATTGGATTTAACGCCGCGTCGTCAGGCTGCAATTAATTTTTTCCCGCTGCCCAAGAGATTTCCAGCGGGTTAATGAGACTCGCCGTATAAAGCGAGCGCACCGCGCTTTTCCCCTTGTTTTCCCCGGACAATCCGCGCGCGCGATTTTTACGCGTTCGCAGCTGCGCAACGTGTTGCGGGTTTTTTTTTTCTTTCGCGACTGGCCTGCAGTGCACAAGTTGAAGTTCTATCCTAGCGCTTTGCAAAAATAATGTTTACTCGCGGGCGAGTAGAGTGTACGCGCGCGCGACAGCAGAAAAAAAAAAGAGAGCGGCTATAGCTCATTCTTCGATAATCGCCCCTAATCGTCCGTGAATTACAAACACACAAGCGCACGCACGCACGCACACACATACACAACACTGACGCTTAGTACATGTAGTTTCACTTTCACACTGTCAAGGGCTTTTATGCTCGTAACGCCTTTTTGACTCGAGTTTTCATTCAATATTCAACGACGCGCCACCATTTCCGATGAATCGCTTACGGCATCGATTTGCCATTTCGGAAAATCGCGTCTGCCACAGAGCAAGCGAGTAGCTACGACATTCGTCTTTAACAAAAATAAAAAAAGTTCGAGCGCGCGTCGCTTACTTCTGTCCAATGTTAAAGAGTCGCGGGCAAACTTTTAATTTGCGAAAGTACGGTTAAACTTTCATTCGAGCTAATAATAAACAAAGAAAAACAAGAATGTAGCGTTGTGCAAGCAGTCGCATGCAATGTGATTGAAGTTGGCAAAAGAAAAGAAGAATATAGAGAATCATACACACCGCCATTCTTAGCCTCGCCGTTGATCATGTCTTCGACCATATCTTTGGCCGCATTGACGGTATCTATGACATTATTCTTAGCCGAGTTAACAACGTCTTTAACGTCCTCCTTGGCGTCGTCGACGGCTTGCTGTACACTTTCCTTGCTCGTGTTGCATCCCATTGTCGTCCTTGATCACAACGGGCACATACACATCTAACGGTCTTGAATCGACGCGCACAAGAAAGCTCACGCGCGACAGTCGGGCTTTGCGATCGTAGGCGTTAATCCGGGCTCGATCGCGAGGCAGAAGAGGAAGCACGAGAAAAAAGGAGGGGGAGGGGGAGAAGGCGTGAGCAGTAAATCGAGCTTTCGGCGAGACGGGGCCGCAGGGCGAGAGGGCAAAAAGGAAAGAGCGAGCGCGTGCGACGGGGGACGCGCGCGTGTCCTGGCTTTTGATCCTCCCCCTCCTTTCCGGCAGTTTCCGGTCACGCGCTGGTCGCGCAGCCACCACAGCAGAAGTCTCCTGTCGTTCTTTCTTCCGCCCTCGTCGTCGTCGTCGTCGTCGTCGTTGCACGCGACAACCTGCCGCTGACCGAATTATCCCTTCTCATTCGTTCGCAAGCCAACGTTGTTGTCCTCTGCTATCTCGTTATCACCGTTCTCTCGTTGGCATTCCAGCAACGTTGGATTTCCTTTATTTCGCACACTCGGAGAAACGGAGCGAGAGCGAGAGTGAGAAAAGGGAGCGTACGCTCGACGTTGGCGCTGGACGCACAACAACTGAGTGGCGCGAAAGACTCGCGTTGCCGACGACCCTGCCCTTGCCGCCGTTCTCGCTCTCGCCACCGCTCGATTAGATATATATGTGTTGCGCGCGCCCTACTTGATATAAAGCGCCCCGCCGGTCTTTGCAAGCGATCATTCCTCCTCCCCACCCCATCGCGGGCGTCTCTCTCTCTCTCTCTCTCTCTCTCTCTCTCTCTCTCTCTCTCTCTCTCTCTCTCTTTCTCGCAGTTCTCTTTCATTGACGAGATCGTTTACCTGCGTGTGCTTGCGCGACAACTGTGGTATTTATATCGCCGCTTGGTCCGCAAATGCCTGCATTTTTCATATGATTGGCATCGTATGAATTCAGCCTCTATCGCGCAAGTTTTGATTTGGTGAAGGCGAGCTGATGGGAAAACGCGTTTAACGACGTTGAGTCCTTGAGTGAAGCACACAGTGGTGGGGGGGGGGGGGGGGGGGTATTTTTATTATGCGGCGCCAAGCCTGCGTAGGTACGTGTGATCATGGGCCAATCCGCGCCCCATCGGCATATTCCGCGATTGCTCGATCGATCGACTAAAGCCTGCTCGAAAAAACTGCGATCGCGAGCGCAAGGTGTAAATATAATTGGCGCGCGCAAAACCTCCAATGATAAAGCACACACGTGTCGAGTTTAATTGCTCTATTCCTCACAGTCACCTTCAGCGCTGCATATAGCCGTCATTGATGTACACAACTTGCTCGATCGCGAATAATCTTTGGCGTATAGCGTTTGGCCTGCGATGTTTGCGAAAGTCGCGCGCGTTTTGTCCATCGATGCATGTTCAGCTGGCGCGGATAAATTACGTAGCACGCACGGCCGCAGCGAACGAACGCACTATCCCCATGCGTTACGAATACTTAAGCCGATTAAAACAAACGTGACTTTCTCCAAATCAACTGATCTATCGTTATTCGCTTGATTGGATAGCGAGCTACTGCTAGATTTGGCAGGATCTCTTTTGTTGGGTCTACTATGAGCTAATTATTAGTATGAATTATTTAATATGTTGTTGTAGTATTGTAGACAAACGAATGAGAGGCTCGACTTCCAATGTTTTTTGTGTGCCAAAATATATATTATTTACTCGAAAGTAAATTATTTTTTAATGTATTATTTTAATGTCATGTTTATTTTTCATTTTTTCATTTATATTATATTTTTCAAAAAAAGAACGACCTTTCGTTTTTCCAGAAAAAGGCCGTCTTTGAGTTATATTTCAATCAAGTCATTAATGAAATCAGATCATTCGGTTAGCATGTCCTCCCCAATGAGTTCACCCCCCTTCCAGAGATAAACGTAAACATACATAAGAAAAAAAAACCATGTCTAATATACATAACAGAACCCTCCCTATTTTAATTCGGTAGAGTAAGATACGTTTAAAAAAAAACAATAAATGTAAATGCAAATTTTAAGTTGTTTAATAATTATTAATATCTGTAGTGTATTCTTTACTATATTATGCGACTTCACGCCTGTGCATGATTACACGTTTGTGAATTCAATTGTTTGCTGATGTGGATTTGAATTTTAATTTTCACCATTGAAATGGATTGAGAAAATCATTGTCACCAACTTTCAAACGTCAAATTTTCAAATTTGTTGCCATGAAAATGAAAACATAACCTCTCAAATATTATAATATAACTGTACGTACGAATACGATCTAAGTGCAACCTGTATAGTCATACTTTTTGTTAATATAAAGTTCAGCTCCTTTATTGACGGGTAAGTACATTTTCATTGATATTCTTTGTTCTTATCATGAGTCTGTTTTGAATAAACAACATATTTCTTTATGTATTTGCTTAACAATTGAAAATTAGTGTACGTTGATATGCCAATAAACTTAATGTACTCAATGATTTTTACGTATTTTACAAACACTTCAACTCAAAAACTAATAATCAAGTATTTATTACCATTAGATGTAATTAATATTGTGCAATAAATCTAATTATTACCTACTGTTTCAGTAAAAAGCTTCAAATTCGAACAACTCCATGGAAGCGCAAAAAATTGATCAAAAGGAGTACTTGAAGCGTTATCTTTCTAAGAAAGACGATAGAAAGAAAAAGAAAAAGAAGAAGCTAAAAGTTGGACCAAAAAAGTGTGTATAAATTTCATAATGCTTTTCTTTTACCAACATTTTTTTCAATAAAACTTGTTTGTAGGTTATCTGTGATTTCTATGATTTCTTGAAAACAACTTGAAAAAGGTTTATGCAATCTGTTTAAAAATGAAATAATAAAACAAACAATTTTTTAAGAATAATTATTGGAAACCTTTATGGATTATATATACTTCTAGAATTGATAAATAAGTTATCATTACTTACTGATAATAGTAAAAGGCTCTTTTCTTTTTCAATCAGTTGTTCTAGTTTAGATATAATAGTTTTCTTATGATTGTTATATTTCCATTGTTCATATGATGAAACTAAAATGTACAAAGAGATTACTTAAAAACATTTTATTCATGTATAACTAAACTTGTTTTAGTTACTTCAAGATTTATAAATTTATAAACATTGCACAAAAAAGTATAATGCTTAATTTTCAGAGTTCAAATAATTGATGATGATATTGATTTAAAAAATCTGGCAACTATTGACGATGAAGAAATTAGCATATTCAATGCAACAGAAGATGCACCACAGATTGTTGGCATAATTGATGAGCGAGGACCCGATTTTGATAATAAACAAAGATGGAAAGTTATAGCTGATGATGGGACTGGAGATATTGCTATTCAAGAAATAGGACACTCTAAAAAATCTACTCGAGCAAATGGTAAACAAGAATCTAACGTGAAAGATAATAAACTAGAGAAAAAGTTGAAAGAAAGAGCATCGAAGAAAAAGAAGGCTGCAAATAGTAGTGGTTTAGACAGTAGCGAAGATAAAAAATTTAAAAAACACAAAAAGAATAAATCATCTAAAAAGAAAAAAAAGAAACGACACAGTACTTTATCGTTAGACCCAGAAGATTCAGACTCAGACTGCGATAAAAGGAACATGAAAAGGAAAAATTCTGACAAAAGAAAGAAAGATAGTAATTTGGATTTGAGTTCTCCACATGATTCTAGCAGAGAAGAATCTAGAAGTAATAATATATCCATGAGCATAGAAGAATCTAAAAGTACTAATATTTCCGTGAGCAGAGAAAATAGTGATTCTGATTCAGGTTCTTTAGGTGATTTTAACAAGAAAAACACTAAAAGTCAAAATACATCTAAGGAAAGACAAAACAGTGATTCAGATATAAGCCCTTTCCGCGATTCCAGCAGAAAAAAATCTAGAAGTCAAACTACATCCAAGACGAGACAAGATAGTGATTCCGATTTAAGCCCTCCACGTGAGTCTAACAGAAAGAAATCTAAAAGTAAAAATACATCCAAAAGAAGACGAAATAGCGATTCTGATTTAAGTCCTCCTAGATCTAATACAAAAAGAAGCGAGTCTCCATTAAGAAATAGTCGAAAGAGTCAGAGTCAAGATTCTGACTTGAGTCCTCCAAGGACAAGCAAAAATAAAAGTAAAAAATATGATTCCTTTAATACTATTAAATCAAAATCTTTAAGAATGCAAAACAAGTCTGACTCTGACCTCAGTCCACCTAGGTCAAAAAAATTCAAAAATTGTAAAGACTTGGATGAAAATGATTCAGATTTTAGCTTACCAAATAACGGCAAATTAAGGGCAGATACACATTCTCGAAAAAGTAAAATAAACTATGATTCTGACCTTAGCCCACCACGGCATTCAAGACAAGAACATGGCAAGCCAGAAAAGTATTCTGGTCATAGGCCAAAATCAGGATGGGATGTTGATTCAAAGCCATCTCATAATTCTGAACGAAGTAGGTCTCGTCATATATCACCGATGTATTCCTATTCGAAATCAAGTTCATCTAAATGGGACAGGAAGAAATCACCAAGTCCCAACAGAAAGTCGGATTCTCATCGTAAAAATGACGATAGAAACACATCTCCAGCTTGTTCAGTAACAAGTCAAACAAAGAAAAAAAGAATGTCGGACGGCAGGTCTGCTGGATTGACAAATTTGCAAACTCTGATGGAGGAGGACAAAGAAAGGAAACGCCGTGAAGAGGAACAATTACGAAACGTAAGCTTTTTAAAAATCTAGTTGAATATTATTTAGTTGATGTACTGTATTATTAATCATGGCATAAATATTTCTACAGATGAGTAGAGAAGAAAGCGGTTATGGACAAGCGACGATAGTACGTGGTAAAAAGAGACGCGACTTGGAACAAAATGCTGCTGAAGAACGAGAAAGACAAAAGGAACAAAATGAAATAAATGCAAAATATGCCAAATGGGGCAAAGGGTAAGTCGAGCAAATGTTTTTATCAATCCTTTTAACATCCCCATGTAATTTAACTAAATAGTGACAGTAACTTTTCGATTGCAGATTGAAACAGGTAAAGGATAGAGATGACCGACTGAAAAGAGATTTGCACGAGATGAGTAAGCCTCTTGCAAGATATGCCGATGATCAAGATTTGGAGCGTGAGCTACGCGCGGTAGAAAGAGAGGAAGATCCTATGTTGGCATACATCAAAGAAAAAGAGATAAAAGAAGGCAAAAGGGCACCAGGTATTTTTTTAAATGATGTTTTATTTTTTATTTTTGTCGATCGACATAGATAATTTAATTTACAACTTAATTTACAGATAAACCAAAGTACGAAGGTGCTTACATGCCTAATCGATTTGGTATTAAACCCGGACACCGTTGGGACGGTGTCGATCGTAGTAATGGATATGAAGCCAAATGGTTCGAGGCTCAAAACTCCAAGAAAGCAAATGAAAAAGAAGCATATGAATACTTAACAGCTGATATGTAAATCAGCTGATGTGTTTTACGTTAAACTTTCTATTGGTTTACTGTAACTTGAAATAATTTTTGATAACAATTTACTACGAATTGTATTGGAGAAAATGACAAATTACTACAATCATAAAAAAATTACTATAATCACAGAATGTCAACTATATACAGAGTCATTTTGAGTTTTCTAACTTGCTGAGGAACTGATTCTTGTAAATAATTTTATTCGTGGAGTTTGATATACCAATATTTTTAAAATATGAAATAAATCTGTCTTTTATTTCTCAACTCAATCCCATTAACATTTGTAATAAATACTAAGTTAAACAGCGAGAAGAAAAACACAAATATCATGAAAGCAAATAATAATACTGGATGAGCACATAAGCATTCAGATCACGCTTATCGGGTATTCTTCACTGCAATCCGTTTAGTTGCAGCTGCGCGCGCGCTCCTTTGGTAAGTCTCTCGCGCAACAGGCTGGTAACAACACGCTCTCGGTTTTTCGCATATATACAGGGACTATAGCAGCACACCTGGAATGCACACATCAAGAAAGAAGAGTAGGGGGAGGCGAAAGTGAGCTTAACGCCAAGAATGGGCAGGACGACCCTGTGGAGGAGGAGGAGGCGACGGCGGCGGCGGCGGCGGCAACGATCGGTAAAAAAGTTTGGTGTGTATTGCTGCTGCCAGTTGGTGTTAGTGATTGTGCGCGGATGACGATGGAACATCGCTAACTCAGGACAAAACGAAAGACGATCATCAGAATGACGCGAAAATTGAGCAAATTTCTCATCCTATTCGAGAATACCAATCTTCTCTACTTTCCTGGACATTTCCTTTCGGGTCGAGTGCTCATTGAACTCGACGACGAGGCATAGTAAGTCGGCGCCATATTTCTCTCTTACTTTTTTACGCGCGCGGGTGTTTCATACGCATAAACACCTGGAGCTTACTTTCTATTTGCACATAAAAGCTGGTAATTTGTTTTGACTTCCGTGGCTGGTTTTTGGGATAACAAGTGCTAATTGAATGCGTGTTGTTGCGCATGCTAGTGAATTCCTGGAAGGATATCTTAGCGCTTAACTTTACGGTGTAAGCCACGAGCTGAGTTTCTTTTGTACGACCTTGTACTAAATAACGAGAAGAATTTCTTCATTTTTCAATCGATCGGTTTCTTTCTTTGCTCTCTGGCTTATACTTTAGCTGTGAATAGTTTTATAACAGGTACAATCCGTTAGAACCGTAAGTTTTCAGAATAATCGGTATTTCAACTCAGTTAGGCGCGTATCTATCGGCTACACCTCCAAATGACATCGTTCAATGGCTACAATTTTAGCATACACGGTAACCGGAGGCATCGTATAACGGTAAAACTATCGCCATCGTCATCATCGTGAAAAAGTCAAATCATGATTTTATTAAAATGCTTTCCTAGTCACATACTTACGTTGCACGCTAATGTTCTCGTTGTTCGCTTGCGCGAGGGGCATTAAACAAAGTGATCTCGCGCACGCAATCGTGTATAGATAAATGGCCCCCGTCTTTCTGTCTGACCACCGTGAATGTAATGCATGCAGGCTCGTTAGTGCCGCAAAGATTCGCGATCGCTTCCGCGAGCGTCTTTCTGCAATCTTTTCTCTCTCTCTCTCTCTCGCTCTCTCTAGGCGGTCGTGCACTTTCTCATGCACGCATGGCCGTGTGTTCCGATGCGCAAGCGCTACTGGACGTTGCGCGTGTACGAATCTATTACTAAGCATTTTGCGTTTTTCTGTTGCCGCTACAATTAAAACAAAAAAAAAATAGCGTATCAGGACTGCACTTCCACGTGATAGGCGAAGGCGTGGTACGAGTGCGCAGTCAACGCGCCGAGCGTGTCTACGACAAGGAGAACTACATCGACTTTCGTATGCGATTACTTGGCGAGCCAGGTACGTGCACACTCCTATAGAATTAAAGTCGGGAGCCTCTTGACTGGCACACCGCAACTGTAATCGACGTACTGCCCAGGTGATGGCCCGTCGTTGTTGTCACCGGGCATACACAGTTTTCCCTTCAAGCTTGGCTTACCACTGGGACTACCATCGACCTTTCTCGGCAAGCACGGATGGGTGCAGTACTACTGTAAGGCTGCGCTAAGGGAGCCTGGCGGTCTTGTGCACAAGAATCAGCAGGTGTTCATTGTCATGAACCCCATCGACTTGAATTTGGAGCCACCGATATTAGCGGTAGGTACGCCGATTCGCGTTCCCCGGATAAGCGCTCTAACGAGTTCAGTCGTTGCCTATTGCGGCCCGCAAGTGTGGGCTAAATGTTGAGCAGCGCGAAAGATGTATTCAGGCTTGCAACGAAGCGTCGCCTTCTCTCATTCGAAAGTCCGCGTGCGTCGTTTGCGCAGCTCGATGGTTTTCCGCGCAAGCTCAACTAACACTTACTTGTAACGCCTCAACTCGTTAGGGAATTCCGCGTGACGAAACCGAAGCATGTCTTATAAGGACAAATGAATATCTTGTTTCGCGATACAAGTCTCCCCCCCCCCCCCCCCCCCGCCCTCTATCTCGACACCCGCGCGAATTCATCGACTCGCTCCAAGTCACTCGAACACTTGCGAGGAAAGAAGACGAAGGGAAAAAAAAAGAAACAGTTGGCCTAGAGAACTAGAAAGACGGCTCGCGGCGGCGTGACGAGCGCGATGCTTCGTTGCCCACGTAAAACATTCAGTCGATCGACGTTCTTGGAGAGATTGTTATGCAAGTTTTTTGCATATGCGATTGAAAAATTAACATAATTTTTATTGTGTCGCTCCGCGCGGTGGACTTTACGGTTTTCATATAGCATTGGTCCTGTTAGCATTGGCTCAATAATATGTACATTCGTCCGAAGGTTAAATCTAAAACTAAAATGGAAATCGCGCATTAAACGGTATATTTTAATGAACTGCAGCAACCAGCCCGATTAGAAGTGGAGCAGCACGTTGGAGTATCGTGTGTTTCCGGAGGTCCAGTATTCTGCCGAGTAAGTCTCGACAGGGGCGGTTACGTTCCAGGCGAGAGCATCGGTATCTCGGCTACCGTGAGCAACCGCAGTAAAGTCACCATGAAGTCAACCAAGGCTTCGCTCACCGAAACAATTCAGTACCTATGCCGTGGTAAAATACTTGCCAGCGAGACTCGCGAGCTTGCCAGTGTATCCAGAGGTAAAATCAGACCTGGCGAGGGCGAAGAATGGTTGAACGAACAGCTGTACGTGCCACCTTTGCCACCCACTAATTTGAGAGGATGTCATTTGATTAACGTTCTTTATCATGTTTACGTAAGTTGCTTTGCGTTTCATTTCTGTTGTGATTACATTTCAATAATCGAATTGACGAACCGATTGTCTCGTCAATTCATTGGAAAAGGAAAAATTAACTTCTGGACGTTGTTTAATTTCAATGGCTTTGAGATTCTATCCTTAGAAATGCAAAATGTAAAAATTGAGCAATTAAGAGGCTTTCGATTGCTCGGTGATGAGACGAGAAAGTTAAGAAGTCCTTTAAGAGAACCCAATTGTTTGCCTCCCTGACAAACGACATTCGTTAACATTAAGGGCGCAATTACTTTGCAGTTCGTGATAACTCCGAAGAGTTTGGACAAGGAGATAAAACTTCAGATTCCAATAGTACTGGCGACATACCCACTCCGACAAGAAGGTGCACCAGCTGGCACTGCACCATCCAAACGCGGAGCTCATTATCCATCCACTCTACCGATCTTTCGACCGTGGCTAGACGACAAAACTTTCGATGTTGAAGATTGAGTTATTTCAAGGGATGTATTTTGAATGTGTACATATCAGTGATTAGTTTAGAACCGCAGCATTTATGAGACAATATTTGTGAAAAGATGATTAGTCAACGCAGTAGAATGACAAACAAACAGGATAATTAGTTTGGTTATAAATTGAGATAATGACATAAAAATCTTTTGAATTTTCTCACAATCTATTTGAAAACTTTGTCAATGAGATAAAATTCAATATATGTGAACATAAGAGTACATTTAACAATAAAAAATAATTAGGCTTCTTTCCGATAATATTGCTTTATCTACGTCATTAGCAGGTACAAAAAGTTGATCGCATTATGTATATATACAAGCAATTTTTATACAATCATTACTTAAAAACCTAAGAAAATATATTGTAAAAAACAATTATATTACTAGAAAACTTAGCTTTTTAATTGTGAAATAATAAAAAGAATGTGTTTACTTATTTTGAAAAATAGCGTGTTTTTTCATTTGGACAACGTGATCAATCGCTTGCTGCTTCAGACTTCAACTTCTCCGTTACTTTTTCAAGGCTACTCCCAGTTACAATGATTTTTTTATAACGGCTTCTTGAACCCTGAAACATATGTAGATTCTCAAGTTTTACAACTGAAATGTGACAACTGTTATACTCAGTATTTAACTGACTTTGTCGAAAATCACGTCTGATTTTCTCAAGTTGAGTACGGAAGCCAAATATTTGACGAGTTCGGCATTCGCTTCGCCTTCGTGAGGTGGCGCAGATATTGCTACGCCTACTGCTTCTTCTGAAAAATCTTGAGAAAAGAAACTCAATTTGGAAAAAGAAAAGTTCATAAATAAGGCCCAGCGAAAAATGTCAAAAGAGAAATCATTTTAATGTACCCGTAATGTTGTTGTGTCGTGATCCAGGTTTCGCATGAATCTGTATGACAACATTGCCATCTTTGTTCACACTAATTGGACCCTGCAGTTGAAAATACATTCGATAATGACAATCAAATAAAAAGCTATGTGGTTTCAATGAAAAGCACCAAAATGTAACAAGCTACTTGTAAAAGAGAGATGGTGATATGATCCACGAAAAATAATGCTTTGACGTCATTGGAAAAATGCAGCTTTTAAATGCATAGTCGTTGAATGAATAAAACCTAAAAATCAATTAATCATATTGACATGAGCAACTTTACCGCTGCGGTCTATGAATCAACTGTTTCACTTTTTAGACGCTAGATGTCACTTCGATGAACTATCCATCTCATGGTTTATGAATTCCAACGCGATATTTGATACACGCATCTCTCGCGCATGCACCTGAAGTGCTTTTTCGGCTCGCTTAAGCCTGAGAACTATTTAGTCGTGCTAGCCTAAAAAATGTCAGAGTACGGTCTTGACAGGTGATTTTGGGAGCATAAGCAGTCATAACAGCAACAGATGACGAGACACTGCTCTCTTTCTCGCCGCGTCCATTCGTGAGCGGTAAGTTTTCAGTCTACACTCGTAATTTTCTGCTACAGCTTACCTCGACTTTCTTCGTTGGCGCTGCGGCTGTCGATGTTTTTCCTTTCGTTTTACTGCTTTTACTCGCCATCACTCGTGATGGAATCGATGTTATCGTCACCCCGAAATGTGTTAACGCGTGACCCGTGACCGAAAGCATTTACGTGGGCATTTTTTCTCACAAAGTAGCGTAGCTACTTTTGCGATTGTGCTTCGTTATAACCTTAATTTTCGATAGTGTGTGCGTGAACAGTTGTGTAAAAAGAGAAAAGGAAGGACAACAGCCGTTGAGCGCATGCGTGCTTTGTGTTTACATTTTGCTGTCATGTTATAGCGCGATATTTAAAAATGCGTTACCTAGTGAATATTAAGTTACATATTTTAAAAACTCTGTACTAAGCGCGTGCACAAATATCTAGGTGAAGTTCAAAGTTAATATCAAATACGTTATTTAACTAGTCGATAAAGATGCCGAAGAAGTTTGTTGGAGAAAACAGCAAGGCGGTGGCTGCGCGAGCTCGCAAAGCCGCCGTCAAAGAAGCCGAACATGAGCGTAAAGTTAAGGAAGCCGAAGATCGTGCCTGGGAAGATGACGACAAACAGCTTGTAAAGAAGAAGCAGAAACAAGTGCGTGAATAATACTATAATAGGGTATAATATTCTTATGGGATTTTTTTACGGGTTTCATACAGCCCGTAACATCGAATTCACCAATTTGACCACTTACCAATTGTTCAAAGTTGGTATACTTGTTAACTATATAAAGGACAATATTTGCACGGTTTTAGACCAAAAAGTTGATAAAGGGCTGAGTTATCAGCTATTAAAAAAATATAGGTTTTTTGGTTTAATTCGCTTTCTTGAAGACTAATAAAGATATCGACATGAATTTTTTTTTAAATGTGGAACCACTTACCTTTGGAATATAAATAGACAGAATTCTAATTGTTTATTTATGCCATTGTTATACACAATTTTTTTATATATCGACAATATTTCAAAATCTGATATTTTTTTCAAAATTTTTAGACCATCGTATTCCTTGTAATTTTTTACATAAGAAATATGGTAAAAAATGAGTCGCCGCTATTAGGGTTAATGCAGCATTGAAATCAAGCGAACCATCTATTAACCACTCGGTCGCCCGCTGCTTGTGCGGTACATGTCCAACATTGCACGCGGCAAACGTCTTTAAATAACGAATAAACAATTTGTTATTTTCTATTTCATCTCTATATCATCACTCTCTGTTTCTTTAAATAATATTTAAAGAAACTAATTAAATAAGTAGTATAATAAACTTATTTTTTATACGATCTGATGTAACATTGAATAAAACACTTGTACGTGCTTAAGGCCGACGCATTTTCATAAAGCGACTACATTAAAAAAATCATGCTAGAAAATCAAAATACCAATTTTAAGTCTTCTAGAAATTTCAAATATTTCTTACGAAAAACAAATTTTACTAAAAACATTTTTTCCATAACATTATGAATTTGGAAAATGTTTTTGCATGCAGAATACTCAAAATTCATTGTAAAACAATAGTACTGCACATTTCGTAAGTTTTTTAAACATAACACCTGAGAACGTAAATAATTTAAAAATCACAATTTTTCAAAATGTTGCTTCTCACAGGTGCAATGCTAATGGCACAAGCAGCTGGTGAATTCACACTGACTCAGATTAGTGAAACACAAATATTAGATCCACAGTTTTAGATCATTGTCGACCTAGTCTCAATTTTTCCAAGGTTTCAAACTAATATATTTATTTACTATTTAAAGAAATACTTGTAGTGATAGAATATGAAATTATTTATTCATTAAAGGCGTTTGCCACGGACAGCGTTGAACTGGACAACACGTGCAGTAGAGATACCGTTGATTTTTTTTAAATTGTGTGTAACAATGACATAAATAAATAATTAGATTTTTTCACTATTTATATTTCAAAAGTAAATCTTTCCTTATATTTAAAAACATTCATGTCGATAGCTTTATTAGTCTCCGAAAAATTGAATTAAAACAAAAAACAAAAATCATATTTTTTCAACAGTTGAAAACTTAGCTCTTTATCAACATTTTAATCTAAAACTATGCAGGCATGCTAATCTCTATGTAGGTTGTATACCAATTTTGAATAGAACTGGTGAATTCAATGTTACGGGCTATATGAAATAGCTAAAATTAATCCTTACCTCAAAGAGCGAATTTAAAATGCGATTTTATATGATTTGACAATTTTTAGGAAGAAGCGGAGAAAAAACGACTACAACAACTACAGAAAAAGGAAGAAGCAAAAGCTCTTCTTGAGAAAGAGATGAATTCCATTAAAGTGGGTGGTAAACAGCCAATAGCTAAAGTCACTCGTGCTGAAATTGTCGCTGCCACCGAAAAACGTAACCAAGTTGCTCAGAAAAATAAGGAAGAGGAGAAACCGATTGAGGAGAATTTAAACAGAATTGTTCTCGAGGGTGAAACAGCTCATGGAATTGACGAAGCTATATCCGTGTTAAGGTATGTATATTTTTTTATAAATTTTTTTCACAATTGAATTGGAAGAACCTATTTTCTGTTTTATTGTTCACAGCTTGAAAGATCCGGATATAGATCGTCATCCGGAGCGTCGAATGAAAGCTGCGTTCCTGGCCTTCGAAGAGCGCATGATGCCGATTCTCAAGCAACAAAATCCAACGTTACGTTTGAGTCAGTTGAAGCAATTGCTGCGTAAGGAGTGGATGAAATCCACTGAGAATCCATTCAATCAAGTGAAAATACAAAACAGTAGCTAATGATGGAGTTACGTGGCAATAGGTCACGCAACGAAGAATGAAACTGTGGTCGTGAAGTAAGCGCGTGTTAATCAATCAACATTCATAATTTTAAACTTTCGATTTTATTGCAAACATGAATAATAATAATAATAATTTATGCTTCGATACCTTAAAAGTACAATGTCGAGGTTAAAAATAACGTTATTCTCTGTATAAAAAAAATAATCACATCTTTGGTACGACTTGCTTTTGCGCTATAATATCTTTTCAAATCATGTGTTTGTGTTTGGCACAATTACCGGTCTCTCTCTCTCTCTCTCGCTCTCTCTCTTTGTTTTGATATAATTTTACGTATACGTTCGTCACCACTTCTTATTTTTCCACAAGTCGATGAAGCAATAGATCATATGATTTAACTGCTCCGGACAGTCGGTCATCGGCACGTGACCAGCCGAGGGAATCGCCTCTAGGAATGCTTTGATCATCGTCTGTGAAATAAAAAGTAAAGGAAATGAACATAACTTTGGTTATTAAAAGAGAAGTGGATATGATTTTCTTTTAAATAAGCTAACTACAGTTATTAGAAGAGATTGAATGTCATTTGTTGAGTAAATTTTAGCTATGAATGACTGGTCAATAGCAGTCTAAAACAAGATTTTTTCCGTATATTTTACTTTTGTATATGGTTATCTTTTAAGCAGTTTATGTTTTTGAAGTTGATAAAATTAAAAAATAGGAAAACATTAATAGTAAAAATCATTATTAGCAAACTCCTAAATTCCTGTATTTATAAATATTTTCATAATTTTTTTTATGTCGATTTTATACAAAAAATATGAAAATTGCACTAGGAATGCTTGGTGCTCCTTTAGTTCCAGCAAGTCATTTCTAGCAATGAGTCAATAATATTTCTGCATGAATATAAGCAGTCGCAATGTAAAAATCAAATACCAAACGTGCCATTAGCTTGAACAATTCCGATAATTTAAATATTGACACGCGATTAAAATCATGAAAAAAAGGCAAATAATAAGTCACTTCCAGAAATAACTTTATCAACTTACCCTTTCCATTTGACACTCTTGTACGAGAGACACCTTATTATCTCTGAGACCGTGCACGAGTAGCGTAGGCGTGCAGATACGTCTGTGAAAAACGTAATCACCATCGGGCCAAGACATACCCCGAAGCACGTGCCGCATGTGCGAGGGCCATTGATCTTCCAGTTCCTCGGAACCGCAATACGGATGTTGTCGACCTCTCGCCGAATAAAGTACGGCTCGATTCATACCGCAGACAAGGAATGGCGCGAGGCTTGCTCTCAAGCAACAGTGGCCTGCACCTTCGGCTGGTGGCGGTGCTAGAGGTGTTGGACCACCACCTGATATCAATACCAACTGATGCACATTGCTCACGTATTTGTACGCCAAAGCTGCTGCGAAACTGCATCTGAGGGCAGAGAATGATACTGCTATAGCTTTGTGCTTCTGAGCAGGGATGTTTTGTTCGCGCAGGTGAAAGCACTCGCCTGCTTTTAATATCGATTTATAAAATTAACCACACGAACGGCGCGCCATAAATTTTTAATACCCATTGTATTCCATTTAAGCTCGTAAAAGTGAACGGATTACTGATGAACCGCCGCGTATATGACACGCCTTATTGATGACCAGAATGTCAAATAGCTATTCCCGAGCTATTTGTATTTAACATGCCTGCTCGTGTACGTGACACGTGAAGCAGAGAGAAAAACAACTGCAATATCGCACATCATATATATATATACATATGCATATCCGTTATTTTTAAGATAGATCTGAGACATTTTTCAGAACGTAATTTTGAATGAAAGCTCTCAACGAACGTTTAATCATTGTGGACTTACAAAGGTTTTACTTGTTTAATGCGATTTGAATATCATCGTTGTCTTTTGTATAAAATAATTTTCAGTCGAACAAAGCCGCAGACAACAAACAATAGCATTTTAAAGAGCAATATTGAATCGTTGACCGTACATAGTGAACCGTATCGTCGACGATATACGTAGTGTTGCAATGGAATCATAGAATAAATTGGCCTCATTGTCATTTTTCTACACGTCTTTTCATAACATCTCTAAGCGGGCGTGGGCTCCCTCTCTCTCTCTCTCTCTCTCTCTCACGCTCTTCTGCAATCAACAGTCTTACAAATCTTTAATAGCAGAGATGTTGACGACGGCAAGTAATATAAACTCTCGAGATATTTCTTTCTTTACTTTTCATTGAGTCAACAAAACTATGATTGCTTTTTCTTTTCTTTCTTTATTAGAAATGACGAGATTTTTATTGTGCTAGAATGCTGCTCGTTCGCTGATTTTATTATAAAAATCATACAAATGTGTGAAGATGTTTAAATAACTTCTGTAATTAAATTGCCATAAATTAAAATCTTTTTTTTCATGGGGTCATAATTTAGGAATTGATTTAACCATAATTTTATTTTGAATTTTTTACTTTGTCAGCGTGTCGTGAGTAGCTTTACGGCAATAGGATATTCGTAAACTAATATGAAATGATGCGTGAACTCAAGCGGATACAGACTACTATACATAAAAGAAAAGTAGGCCGCTCGAAAAATAATTAGCCGCTTAGTCTTGGCTCACACTTACCCGTAATTATGAGCGACGAGCACGCACTTCTGGCCGGGTTTGAAAGCATAATGCAGCAAGACCGCCTCGAGATCTTTGAGAAGTTTGTCGAAATGATAATCCTTGGGTCTGTTCGGCGCCGAGCTAAATCCATGCCCGAGGAGATCAGGCGCCACGCAAGGATAGCCCAGGTTAGCAAAATAATTGAGCTGCGGCTCGAACGACTCGGCCGACGAGCCGAAGCCGTGAAGGAACACGATCATTGGCTTGCGATTACGCAGTGTTACTTCGTCCTCGCCCTCGTTATTGTTATTATTGTTGCGCCCTCGGCTTATTTCAGGTACGGGAAATCGCCGCCTATAATCCTCCAGTTCCAGCGCTGCACGCATCGAGGTTCGCGAGTGTGGTCTTTCGCCATTTCCACTACCATGGCCACTTGCTTCGGATTTCTTTTTTTTCTTTTTGCTGTTCTTCTTCTTGGGTTTGCGCTGCTGTTGCGCCAAGCGAGTTGCAAGTCGTCGACGAATGACAGACACCGTTTTGTTGACTTTCGAGCTGACGAACGACGATGACGACGTTTGCTGTTTCGCATCCTCCGCAGTGCACGAAGGTTGTTCCCGACTGTCGCGTTTGAATTCAAGGCGAAGACTGTTGAAGCGTGGTTCTTCGATCGTGTCCAGAGATTTGGAACCACGCTCAACAGGTGGATCGTTAGCTGTCGCCGACGAATCTTCCGCGCTGTTTGTCAACTGTTCAGATTCTAGGGGAGCTGAAGATTCGCCTTTTGAGTTGGTTTCACTTAACGGTTGAGCTTCCGATAAGCCCTTTGATTGGCTGGCCTAAAATTAAAGCAGACGATTTATTTATCATTACGATGGTCGAAAAACATTGCTTACAAATCAGTTGAATAAGCCTTGTGGAAAAATAAGAGTGATAAGTTTTAATATTGAAGCTCTTTTTAACTACGATCGTTTAAGTACTCAATTGTTTCACGCGCAATAAGAAACTTCAAGCGCAATAATTACCAGAGTCGCATCCTCGGCATCGATTTGCATTCCCAGATCTTCGAGTGACTTGCCAATGGACGAGCCACCCAATTTCGCATCGATAATATCCATGAGCGATTGCTCGAGATTATGCTCCTCCTCCAGCTCGGAGGTCTGCAATTCAACGGTCTCCACGCTATTGATACCCGAGTCAATGCAATCGAGCATCGCCGCGTCATTGCGAATAGTTCTCAGACAAAAATCCAAGGTATCCGGATCATTTGTCGTGCCGACGAAGCCACGATTAACGTAACCCTTTTCGGGCTGCTCTTTGGTCATCCAATTGGCATCTTTATCGCTGTGAAATGAGAAGCTAATATCGAAAGTCGGCGCCGTTGCCGTTGGCTGGGCATTTTGTCGTTCGCGTTCGATAGCCGCTTTAATGGTGTCGTTGAGTATCTCATCCAGTAGCTCACTGATATACCTATCCAAATCCCTGACGATCTTCTTCTTGGCGCACTCGTCGAGACAGTCGATCCTTGCCATCTGCGCCTCTTTCAAGCTCACGCGATCCGTCTTGCTTGGCGCGGCCTCGTTCAGCTGCGACAAATCGACCGTCAGAGTTTTCTCCAACTCTTCGATATTCTGCCCACTGATATCGGCTTCGCACAGGCTCGTTCGTATCCGGTTGATCTGCTGTGAGATAATCTGCTCTTCGCGACTGCTCAATCGACTGCTATTGCTGTACCGAAACGAACATCGACAGTTACCCGATGGATGTGGCCTTTTTGCCCACCTCGAGTAAAAATTATCGACCAGCGATTCCGGCCGATCGTTCGCTGCGGCTGGCTCGTAGAACTTTCCGCTCTTCAATTCGGGTTTCAGTACTCGCAACACTCGTCGCGGTGCCACCGTGAAATACTCGACTCCGGGCTCCTCGTCGCCCGGCAGAGGCTCCACTTGGTTACGATTCCGACGCAAGCACTCGCTCATCTTCGAATACCAGGCGTAATTCGCCGCAGCCGAGGCACTATTTGTTGTCGCTGCCGGCTCCGACATTCCCGCTCTTCTTCTTCGGCAAGCACCCGTCGCCAGAGGAGGTTCTGCAACGAGGACGATATAACGCTCGTATTAGTAATCGGCGCAGTTTCGCTAAATCACTTTTCCGCGGGATGATGTTCGTTTCGTTCTTTTTCCGGGAGCGTTGAGTCATAGACGACGAGGAAAACGGTCTTTTTTTCTTTTTCGTGGGTTGATAAGTCATGAACGCTCGCGGTACATGTTTCACGGGGATCTTCGAGCGAAGACGCTAATTGCTGTTTGCCTGCGTTGCGATCTATGCAGTTTGACAACATTTCAAACGGGGGCAGTGTTGTATCTTTCCTTTTCGAATGAGAGCGCAGTACACTCGACTCGCGCTATTTAACACACTTGACTTTTCCGTGCTCGAAAGACTGCATCTTTCAATTCGCAGCGAAGAGAATTGCTTTGTGAAAAATAGGTGCGACGTTCGCATAGATAAGTTGACAATTCAGCGCAGTGAATAGCGAAAAAGAGAAAAATAACAAAGCAGCCTCGTAAAAATTAGAAAATTACCAACTAGACTGTATATATGTGATGAGTATCGTTCACGCAAGAACTCGTTGGAACTGTTGCCGTTCAAAATCATCAACTACGAAAGCAAGTTCTCGAGTATTAAAAATAACAAGCACGCGCTCGAACAGTCGGTCGGAAAATTAAATATTGACCGTTCTCTTACCTCGACATTAACGCCGAGAAAGTAAAAATAAAGCATAAAAAGAATGACGATAGTAATAATCAATAAGATGGAATGAATTACCAAGTGCATGAAGCTTTCAGTCGACTGCATCGGCTGTACGCAGGCATCCGGTCGTCTCTCTTTCTCTGGCTGTGGTCAGTACAGCAGCGCAGCAGCGATTTGCCTGCAATGGTGTGCAACGCGCGAAAAACGAAAGTGCAATGGCTTGCCTGCTGTTGTGTATCCTATGGGCGAGCTCGAGTACACGCGATTTCCATTGGCTAGCAGCAGCCTCTCCTCTCACTCTTTCTCAAGGCTCACGAGTCTCTCTCTTTCTCTCTTTCTCTCTTCGATACCAATGTAATTATTTCGATCCTTCGGGCGATCCGAACCTGATACACGTATCCATGGTAAGGAGAGAGAAAAAATAGCTCTGATATCGATCTCTTCGGTCACTGACACTTTCTCTTCTCGAATTCGATCGTCGCCGTCGCCATCCCTCGGCTGCGTTTCTCCGACTGCAGTGAAAGAGAAGGAAAAGAAAGCACTTGTTGCTCCTTCGGCGTGCACGCACTCGCGGCGCACGCTGGCGACTAAACGGAATTGCCTCGCGCGCCCGTGTGTCGAAGCTGCTCCACGCAGGCGCGCTCGTACACGCGCAACTCGTACGCCCACTATATATATACACACACAGCGTCTTCTCTCCGGTTGACGAACGATGAGTGACGACTCGTACACCAGATGATTCACAGCGTCGCCGGGCGTAAGTGTGTGGACACGTCCCAGGAGGACGCGCTCGGTCTTTGGTCGCTCAGTGAGCGCGCGGCACTAGAGTAGCCAGTGGCAGCCATGTTGCATTCCCATAGAGAAAGAGAGATAGATAGAGAGAGAGAGAGAGAGAGAGAGAAGCGGTTCTTTCTTTAGGGGGCTGCTTTGGTGCCGAGGCGCATGCAGTTCTATGACTCCGAGATATTCGATTCCGTTTGCGGCTAGGGCAATCGGATTTTTCCTCGCTTTCTCTTTTTGCTCGGCTCAAGAATAGATTGCATTATTACACACTCGTCGGACAGTGAACATCCCACATTTGTCAATTGCCCGATTTAGATTGGCCTTTTGTTTTCCTTGTTAAATTTTCAATGAACTCCTACGAGCGCGAGATTATTAGTTTCGCGAGTGACAAAAACAACGCGTATTTTGCATTCGAACCAAAGATAATGTGGCTTCGCGATCGACTAGTACGCGAAAAAGACTAGTGCGTGCGTTGACGGCTAGACGAGAAGAGGCACGAGAGAGGCGTAAAAGGCCTCGTTTCCGCGCGATTTAAACAAACGAGCTATGTACTTTTGTGCGAATTTGTTTTGGCGGTCGGCTTATTCATTCGCCGCACCGGTCGTTCAGTCATATTTGATTCCACGGGATTCGCATTATTGCCGAACGGAAAAGGAATCGCGCTCGCGTACTCGTTTGAAAAAGGTTCGGCAACCTATTTTCCACCATGCAACTGTATTGTTGATCACAACCCCACCCTCTCCGCGTTCTTCCTCTTATCGACCGTAGAGCGAGAAACAATGGAAGAAGGTGTCGATTCGAGCACTCACGCGTTTATCATACCGTTAAACGCCGCACGTGCGCCGAATACGAGGATGTGCGACATATTAAGTGTCTTTTGGTCGATATATAATTTAGTCCTTCCGACGCGCAATGTATGTCTCCGTCCCCATTTACTCGGCGTTTTATGCTCGCCTATTAAGTCTTTATGCTCAAACGAATCTTCTTTTAATGTTTTTCCCAAGAGAAGCCTGTGCCAGGGTCAAGTGTAACGAGCGACTCTTCTCTCGATCGCTTGCGTGGATACTGGGGCGTATGATTTTTATCAATGAATGACCTTCCGTTCTGGTATCCGACTAATTACAACGGTCCGCGCGTGTACGTGTTTACCTATTTCGTTCGTGTTTACGTTGCAAAGGATTTCGAAGTTACGTAACTGTTAAAATGTTAATACGTCGAAAGGATGTTAGTTTTACATAATGCCACTCGGCCACAGTACGTACTTAAGCTTACGTTGCCTTTTTTCATCTCCGAGCAAGAGCGAATAATACTTATACGTGATTCGAATGACAAGCACGCGCTGCGCAACTAAATAGCTATCTATTAAGAAAAGAAAGAAGCCGTATTTCGAAAGTTAAAGGAGAAAAAAAAAATCCGTACAATGCCCCATCGTCCGTGCGCGCATCGCCGAGCTCGCCCCTCGCGATGTAATTGTTTGATTTATCGCGTCGTAAATTCTATCTCTAGAACTCAATTATTCGCGCACGGCGGTAATTTATCTCCAACGTACATGGCGTACGTTGCAAGGGCCGAGCACATTATTGGCAACGAGCCGCAAACTTCGGGCCTCTACGCTTCCTGATGTACGTATGGAACACCGCGGGTCGATCGCTCGCGCGCGCTCTGCACCTCGCGCGTCGAACGCCGAGGCACGGCTACTCGGAATGCGCTGTGGGCAGTTTGCGGGCGACCGTATAACCGTTAAAATACGATGTACGCGGAGCCCAAAGTGACTCCCTTCAGAGTTGAGGGCGTGAGCGGTATTCGTAATTATCCTTGCGCGCTGCGCTTGCCTATCGCGATTGTATGTGCTTCTTTCCGTCCACATTCGCCTCGTAAGACGACTAATTGGCACCTTCGAGCTCGTCGTTGCGCGCATCGCGCGCGTTGCACTCGATATATTTCTTTTCTTCGAGCGTCTATTGAATACTTCTAACAGCGCTCAAAATCAAGCTCCGCCGCCTGATTCGTTCTACAGATCGAATGCCGTGATTTAACGGAGCGTCAACATTCTCAAAATTGATGCGTCGCTTATTAATTGTTCGCACTTGCATTAAAGCTAAAATCTAGAGAACAGCGCATCATTTCAAACTTCTAGTTTCACGTTTTTATTTACCAAGTATCATTATCTGAAGCTCTTGTTCAGCTTCTAAATTTGTATAATTATAAAATGGCTACTGCAAAGTTACTTCCTTGGCAAGTCACGATTCATTTCATTATATTCAATAACAGTAAAGAAGATGTAGGTCATACTGTTGACTGAAATTTAAATCATGGACTACTTTTCTCAAACAATGATATACTGATATACTTACTTGTTACATGTGGATACTAATAAGGTCAATCATTGTTTGAACGTCATGGTATTCGCATGCAAGCGGATTTTTCAACGTCTCACTAAATATTTTACATGTTATTCTTTGTACTATATAATTGTGTTGAATGTTATCCTTACATAATCGGAATAATTTATAATATCAGTTTGGATTCCACATCCGACTGTACTCTATAAAACTTATAACTTAACTTGATACTAATTCAATATGTTCGTAGAAGAAAAGCAAAAATTCGATCTTCTATTCATTTGAACGCAAACATCAAAGTTTCAAGTCACAAAATGATTATTAAATAGCAATAAAGCAAAGGTTTACTATTTTATAGAACAGTGAAGATATAACATGATAACAAAAATTATCCTTTTATGTTGAAAAATGAAACGTTCCACGTAATTGTCGAGGCGATAAAAAGAAGTATTTTTTAAGCAATACTCGCACGTGTGCTAAGTCAGAATTTTTCTCGCTATAAATATTTTCGCAAATCGAGTGCTTGTACCAAGCACGTGTTTATTACGCTCTCTGACTTATGCGTATCCGGCAATAGACTTTGCAGTCGGAAAATGTCGCCGGTAGTGAAAAATTATAGATAGATAAATAATGGTTTTATTGGTTCATAATAAAAAAAATACATTGCCAGATTACTGAAGAATTATCAGATAAAACCATATAGTAACGCCATCTCTTGAGTGTTTCAGTGTTCAGAACAGTTCTATGTAGTTGTGTTGTTTGAATAAGGTTATTGTTGCTATGTATTAAAATTTGAAAACTTTTTATTTCGTTGAAAATTTTAAAAGCCACAATTATCAGAATTAAATAATATCGTTGGAAATTTATCATTCGATTATAATCTGTAATAGGTTAAATTTGTGATAAAAAAAATTTTAGAAAAGAAATTAATGATCATGAAAAATACTCATGTCTTGCAGAACCAACGATGTGATCAAACCCTTAATTGTAAGTATTGACATCAGAAATATTTTTCGTTCTTCTATCTTGAAATTTATTTTATAAATTTTAATTTCAAGTCAATAATTATACCAATACACAATGGAGAAGAATGGATCGATACCTGCTTCGAGTCAATTTTGAGACAAACTATAATATCTGTGATACATGTAGAAATAGCTATTTGTGACGATGCTAGTACAGACAAAACTTTGGAAATTCTGGACAAATGGAAAGATATATTTAATAAAATGTCAATTTCATTACATATTTTTAAAAATGAAACTGGTCTTCCAAAAGGAGGTATGCATAAAATGTTTAAAATAATTTTGATACATGCAAATTTGATTGTGATAAAAATGTATTTTTGTATTTCAGTCGGCTATGCTAAGAACAGAGCAGTAGAAATTTCATCTGGAGATTATTTGTGCTTTCAAGATATTGTAAGTACTAACAATTTTTTGAGAGTTTCACAATCTTGTGGATGAATAAATAAATTTTATATTTTAGGATGATATTATGCTTCCAAAAAGAATAGAGACTCAATACAAGTTGGCTAAAACAAACCAAAGTGCAGTAAGTATTAAAACAATGTAATTTTAAACAACATACTCTAACTTTTAGTTTTGTGATCAGATTATTGGAGGTAGATTCAAAAGAAAACCTGAAAACTCTACAGAAAGATTTGTACGGTGGGCTAACAATCTGATTCATGAGCAGCTTCAGATTCAAATTTATACATCTTATGGACCAACAGTCATAATGCCAACCTGGTTTTGCCATAGAAATGTTTTCAATAAGTACACTATATCTCTGTATATTTTATTTGAATAATAATTTTCCTTATTATTGATACAGAATTTTAATTCTAGTGTTCCTGGTGGATTTTCTGAAAAAGGCTATGGTACACCAGAAGATTTAATATTTTTTTATGCTCATATAGAAAATAATGGATCTGTTCTGAGAACAGATGAAGTGATTTTAGAATACTTATTCCATCCTGGAGCAACGACATTATCTATAAAACAGTAAATAAAATTGTAATCAACTGATTTTTGAAATCAATATCATATTATGTTTTTTTGTCTTTAGAGAAACAATATTTGAGTTGAGAGTTCAACAAGTTGAAAAAAGAGTTCTATTTAAATGGCCATCATTTACTATATGGAATGCTGGAAAGGAGGGTAGAAAATTCTTCAGAACTTTGCGTGAGAAGTTTCAGGTATATCTTGAATCAATTTTGTTACATAATTATTTTTATATTATAAATATATAATTTTATTGTTATACTTTAGAAAAGGGTAATAGCTTTTTGTGATGTTGACAAGAAAAAAATTGGGAAAAAGTACACTCCTTATGATCATTCAATCAGACGATCCAAGGTGCCTATACCCATTGAACATTATTCTATAGCTAAACCACCCTTTATTATTTGTGTCAAACTAGTAAGTTTGAAGTTTTTTCATACGTACAAATATAAAAAGTTGAAAGTTCATATTAAATATTAAAATATTTTATTTTAGGATATGACTAATGGTATTTTTGAAAAAAATCTGAATTCATTGAATTTAAAAGAAGATAAAGATTATATTCTATTTAACTGAACATGTTATCGTTACATAAATCTTAACTAGAAACTATAAATTGTATTATACTATTACATTACTATAAATTTTAACACAGTAGTTAGACTTTAAATATTTTATCATTTACCACACAAACAAAAAGAATTATTTTAAACTTTAGTGCATAGTTGTTTCTCAGTCATTCAATAAAAAAATATATAAATGCCATTCTCTAGAATAAAACAAATACAGAATAACATACAATCATCAAAACTATAAAAAAAAAATTAATATAAATTACTTGGGAGTGTCAATTGCTTTGATTCTGGTAAATTCTAGAAGTTTGGATTTTTCAAGAGTTATGATGTCATCATCATCATCATTACCATCATGATCATCTGAATTTTCTTTATCTTTTGGAAGAGAAAATTTGCCTTCAGGTTCCTTCAATTGATCTTTACCATCTGTATGAACAAAATAAATGCATTTTTCAAATCATCTAGAGTATAGTCTAATATAACAACAAATAAGTTAATAAAATAATATTTATACATACGCAACAACTTCATTGTGTACTGTGATCCCTCTGCACTACTAGATAAAATTTGAGCTATTATCACATTTGATATTTGAGGTGTATAATCTTCTCCTATTTTGAATACCTAGAAATACACACAATGATGATTAAGTTGAATCATAAAAAGTATTAAAAATATAAGTCAAGTATTAAAAATGTTACCTTGAAAGACACTGTATTATTATCATCATCTTCAAATCTTTTTTGTGTTGGCGTTTGAATTTTACTTTTTTCAACTTCTGCAGGTAATTTATAACCATTCAAACTTGTATTTATCTGATTAGACTTCTCATCTGATTCAATACTCATTTCTTGTTCTTGAATGGATTCTGGCTTATATAGAGTATCATTATATTCCTTTTTTATTCGTTTGTGTACAAATGTTAATGGTGTTGAACTTTGTCTCAAATTGAGGAGAGCCGTAAGATCTTTGCTTATATTTTGCTTATTTTTTGTATCTTCAGTTTGTAATATCTGATGGACATTGTTTTCATAAGCAGTTACATCTGATGTAATATCATTATCTAAACTTTTGAATCTTATATGTTTACCAGATCCACCAGATGTGATTAAGATTGAATCAATTACTTTTGGTTTTTTACCAGAGGTTTCATTTAGTGAAATATCACTTTCAAGAACTACATCTGCAGGCTTTTTCTGTTTCCTCTTGCGCACTCTTTTCCTTTTATTGGATATATTTTTCTCTGGATTTAATTGTTCTTCAGTGTAATTATCTTCTGTTATTTCAGAATCTTTGGTATCACTTGTAACTACATCATGTAATGCAGTCCTATACAAAGTGTCATTGAACAATGGAATTTCTGGAAGATCAAAATACAAAAAAATTAATTTACTGCCAATCTATTTTATATAGTACAAATTTTCATTACTTTAACAAACTTACCTGAGACATTTTGAGTAGAATTTTGAGAGGACTTATCGGTTGTATAACTTTGATTATAAATTAGATCACTTTCTTTGTTTTTTGAAGCTTCTCTACAATTACTTTGTACCTTTGACAATGAGTCAACATCACTTTTCATTACAGAAATATTATCATCATTAATCCCTGTACCAGGAACGATCCTGTAAAACGTTTTTATTGCAAAAAGTTAGAACTTTAAAAAAAAAGGATTTGTAAAAAATTTATTGCAACTTGATAAATACTCACACAACAGTATCGTTATTTTCCAAAACTCTAATGTCTTCTTCGAAGGGCAGAAAAAAACACGTATCTTCGTGTCTTGACAGAAGATGAAAAGGCTTTTCGATATTGAAAATCTTCCGCACGTGATTAACAAATTGATTTACATAAAATATCTTTGTACTGTCGATGAAAATCCAACTGTATTGTCTTGCGTCTTGATATATCCTGGATATATCAATTTTTACTCGAAAATCTTGTCTCATTTTGGCAGTTTCTATTCTAAAGTTGTTGTTCTAAGATAGAACTTTACGAAAATAAAAATGTCAGTTGTAAAAAATTCGTATATCCTTTGTGCTATTCCTATACGATTGCTAAAATACCGTCGATCCTATAGGTTACACATTTAATGTTTGACCGGCACTGGCATGCAAGTTCAGACTGGTATTTCTACCGGCTTAGCACGCCACCTACATACTTACCACATGCTACGGCCGTTCTTCGTTGTTTCGCGATCTCGAACGATTTTATTTTGATTTGATGCTCAACTGTTAATTCCATTCAACTTCAACAGCACTCGCGTCTCTCGTAAATATTATTGTTACATGCCAATCGATATGTATAAGAATAGAACTTTACATACTGATTCCGCGAAAATAAGCTGAATGTATGACAATGACAAATGTTTTATTAACGAAATAATTGAAATTCTGAAATTCACATAAGTATTATCCTCTTCCTCAAGGTGTTGCTCTTTCGTTGATGAAAGTTGCCATTACAATAAGTACCGTGACGCAACATATATCGTGATCAAAATTATGCAACGAATATGATCACTCCCTTGATGTTATCGCCATACATAGCAGGTCTTATTGAAATTACATTTTTTATTTTTATATTTACATACAATAGGTAGAAATCGAAGCTAATAGGGAACTCTATTGAAAAATTAATTTTTTTCTAGTATGTAAAATTATTCTTTAGACTAAAGCAGTTTTCAAAAATGTTGAGCATTTATTTTATAAACGGTAACGTTCACAATCGTATTGGCTATATTTACATCAAATTAAATCACGTAAACCAAACGATGTGAAATACATATGTCCTAGTAGTACATTGACAACCCAATCTATTATACTGCTTCCGGGCAAACCGTAAGTTTTTATTTTTCACAAGCTCTTAATTTTAAATAATTGAAAAAGTCAATGAATCGTGCGTGCGTTTACGTACACCCGCCTTTACGCAAAGTTAAATTTATACAAAAATGCGAGGTAGCGCGGCACACAGTGATACACTTGACATTTGTACGCGCGTGCGCGCGTCTGAGCGAGAACGTCGGTTATTTTGACAAGTGCGTAAGTTTGCACAGGCGAAAAGCGATGGAATGCTAAAGCGCCAGGCATAAGCACACAAACCATGCCTTATCTGCACGTAAAAGGCTGCTGTACCCATCAGATTCTGTAATATATGGATTTCCTCTTCGTCGCACAACAGAGATGTTTGCTTCGAAACTCGCCACCCTGATGGAAAAAAATAGTAGTTGTGTTTTATCTGCAAGACAGAGAAAGAGAGAGAAGCAGCTATCGCATCCTTCATCCTTAACTTTGACACGCTCTGAGTATCCCTTCATAATCCTGCAACAGTGTAAACGGTCACGGCTCATCCCTCGTCAATCAATTCGTTAAGTGGGTCATTTGAAATCTTCGTATATATTTAGCAAGCAAGCTGCGAAGAAATGAAAAGGAAGTACATAGAAATAAAAATGCACAGCGCACACAACAGATCGCGAGGGAGTGAAGGCGTCGTGGTATATATGCAAGATAAGCAGTGCAAATTTGCTTGGAAGCTCTCTCTCTCTCTCACTCTTTCTTCCTTGATGCAGCCCTAGGAAATGGCGGCTCTTGGGTAAACGCTCGCATAGGTCGTCAACCTCGTGTGCACGAGATATAAATTTGCGGGCGATGGCCCCGAGCCGATTAGTTTTCATTTCGCCATGGAGTCGAGGAGTAACAGTTGCTTCCTCGTATTCCTCATTCTTCTGTGCAATGTACTGGCAAGTGGAGAGCATCATCACCTTCGACACGAGGCCGGCGCTGGCTCGAATAACGACGTTGAACATCAAACGTTGAATATTGACAGCGAGCATAAACTGATGCTCGAGTGCCAACACTCGGACTATCGCACCTACATCAAGTGCCTCAAACGCGAGAAAAGGCAGCATCACGGTGGTCTTGGTATGCGCATCTCACGACGTTTCACGGGTTCAGGTTTTTTGGGGGGGCTTGTGCACGAATTGTCGCGCCACGAGGGTTCGTCCTCTTTTCAAGAGTCAGTGAAATGTGAGATAACACGTTGAGGGATGACTGTATCTTATTTTGTTAAATTAGTGGTAAGATCACGAGGGGCGAGTCTTATTTTTTCTTGGAAGGTAAAATATCATTTTAAATCTTTGAACGTATGCCAGTTGCGAATTGATTATTCCTAACCGATTGGTAGAAACAGAATCTCTTCATTCTTTTTATTCGTTTGTTACTATATTTAAATGTTTCTATATAGTTAATAAAACTCTTGTAAAAGAAAAAAATCTGCGGCACAGCAGTCCAATGAATTTTCCCTATACAGAAAAGCGAGCCTGCCTGGACGAGTGTTTCGAAATAAAATGCAACACTTCGGCCTGTCTACGTGACTGCCACGCGCGCTGCAAGAGGCGCCTAATCGAGACTTACTCCAAAACCGTGGAGACATACGACTGCGCTGACGGCTCGTGTTCGGAGTCGAGCTCGCAACATCTGCCGAACATCACGACGAACATACACATCAACAACGTTTTACCAAATGGCACCAACTGTGCTGGAAATCATTCGGGCGGACCAGGTGGTTCTGGTGGACCGGGTGGCAATGGCACTGACAATGGCTGGGGTAATGGCGCTGAGCCAAAAATTAATATCAACAATGTGATCAATAACGTTGGACCTGGACCGCCCTCGAACTCGGATTGCCCTTGTCGTAAGCTCCAGAGATTACATACATGTAGATTGATTTATGACTGCATCGGGTGTATCGGTAACTGACTGCCTCTCGCGATTACAGCCGCAACTGGGTGCAACTGCAATCCGTTTAGCCCTTGGCAAGCAATGCCGCAGATTACTATTGGATTTGGTCCAGGACCCGTCGGAGGCTGCGGTTTTCCTATGAGTTGGCCCTGTCTACAGAGATACCCGGCACGTACATTATGTTATTTTGACGGGCATTTAGTTGCGATTAATTAATGGCCGTGTTATTTGCAGACTCCACCCGTCGACTGCTCGATGTGCTCGAATCCATTCTTGCGTTATCAATGTAGTGCAGCGTGTACACCTGCAGTGGAACCGCGGAAAAATGGCACAGCCAATATAGCGCCACGGTGTAATAATGATTTTCGTGTTTCAGTAAACGATTGTCATTTTGTGCTCTTTTCATCATTAGCTTGTTTTGATTTCAGCTAATGCGACGTCAGCGAACTATTGGAATAATGGCTCTAGAAGATTTTAGCTTGGAATATGAAAAGATCAATCTATAATCATCTATTACTGTATGCTTTCGATCGATTTGTAATTATTATTTTTAATTATTGTTGTTAATTTTTGAATAATAAATATTGCAATATTTATGATTTGAAAAGTGATTCATAGAGTTCTGAAAAAAAGACCGTTTTTTTAGAATTTCATCTGATCGTATATACGCTCGCCTATATCTATTGCAGAGTAATTTGCATTTTAAAAGAAAAAAATATGTTTTTGACGATAATTGCGACAAAAACAAGTTTTTACCTATAACTGGCGAGCGACGTAAGGTTTGCTCATTTAGATAATAATCAACAACAAAACAATGAGACAAGAGCACACACCGCCGAGCTTACTCAACGTCACATTGCGCGCGTCTTATCGCTCGCTCGCTCTAATCTTTCACGTATTTCGAAAAAAAAAATCCAGAAGAAAAGCTCGCGTTCAACCTCTCTGAGATTTGCTATGTTTTCCCGCCACCACTACTGTGTCACGTCGAATCCGAATTACCAACTCAGAAGCAGTTTGGTCGTTATGAATTGCGGCTAGCCATGCGTTTCGCGCGTAATCCACCTGTCTGCATAGTTTACTTGCACACGTATCCGCTTCGCTCTGCTCTAATAGCGTATAGAGTTTTGCAACACCTGTCCCAACAGCTGCGCATCTTCTTTACGCCTCGAGGGGGGTAACTAAAGTTTCCTCGCTCTCTCTCTCTCTCTCTCTCTCTCTCTCTCTCTCTCTCTCTCTCTCTCTCTCTCTCTCTCTCTCTCTCTCTCTCTCTCTCTCTCTCTCGTTCGTGATCAACTTAACGGCTGGTATGAACCCTAAATCTATTGGCTCTTATTATTTACGACGAGCCGTAGACAGAGCGGTATTTGTTTTGTTTGCGGTGAGAGCTGCCGCCGCCAAATTATTGTTTTCCGCAATCAATAGAACTTGGCGCGAAGTGAAATCGCTCTTGCCGAAGAGAGAAAAAAGAGTTACACGGCGTAGGACGAATGCGAGCTTACGACCGCGCGGCCTAATGTGTTTATTAGCAATTTGCGATTTGCGTTTGAAATCGAATACAATGGCGATGCTTTTCTTTTATTTTCGCCGAGAGTGCGAAAACCATATGATTACGTCGGCTATACGTTCTCTTGTACTGTTAGCCAATCGCGTGATTTATCCCGAACGCATAGCTGAATCAAATACCGATTCTATTAAACACTTCGCTTTTGTTTTCTTTGTTTTTTTTCATTTCCGACGAGACATTGATTAAATACAGTCAGCCTTTCCTTGTTTTTCTTTCTCATCGTCGTCTAGTCGTATCTCCGTCTCTGTTGTGATAAAAAAATGGAAGGTATCGTAGAAACAGAAGAAAACAAACTTAATAACCTTTTGTTATTAAGACTGCAAGGTATGAATGGCCACGATGATAATTGCATTAGCCACAGATGAAAATTTCATTGAAAAGCACGATGGCGTGTGCGCAGCGCAACGTGCGCTCATTTGCCAATGATTTGACGCATTAATAAATCATTGCCTCAGCAGCTGCCAACGCGCCTTGGTGAAAAATATGAATCGTCATATTATTTCGTAGTTTTGCGGTTCTCGTCGTTATCGCTGTGCGAAAAAGCGCTTGAATAAAAACTCAAAATCCCGCGAACGAACAAGATAATTTCGCAACGCGACGACGGCGGCGGCGAAAGTGATCGAGCGCCGTGGGAAATACGAGGACGACGCTGCGTTCAGAGAGAAAGATGCGCCTGGAGGCTCTCTCGCTCGGAAGAATTCTCTCTCTGCATAAGGTTTCAATTATACAATCCGATATCTGCGTGATCATCTCGCATGTGTGCTACGTGCGCGCGCGCTTCGCGTTTTTACTGTTGTATAGGGAGTTGCAACATGGCTGTTAATTAAGTGTAATTTATATCGACAGTGAGCTCTCTTTTGCGCGCGAGCGGAATGAGCACGATGAAATGCTTTGGCAAACGAAAAGGAGATAAAAAAAGAGAATCTTGGAGATTAGGCGTTCGCACTTGGACGTGCTAATTAACACTTGGCGACGCTTGCAGACGCAGCAGTTGAAATTGTCAAGCTGCGAGCTCCAATGAGTTTCTATAGTAGTACAAAAACACACAGAAAGAATGACGCTTTTGTCGTAGTCGTACTTTAATCCTCTATTGGCATGGTACTTATGATAATCGTTCCGTGGAGTCCCTTAGTGGGCGTAGTCAGCCACGAAACGTAAGTCGCTGCTACACAGCTTGTACTTCCATTCGACAAAGACAGAAGTACGAGAGACAAGTCAGTCGATGACGGACATTATTAAATGTTTACGCTCGAGTGGGGCAACCGTCGCATATTATACCTACCCAGACACTGACGGACGCGAAAGGGGGCCTTATGAAGGCAGCATGTGGCACGCGTCTTCGTGGAGGTCTTACCCCTTGAAGACATATGTCTCTCTCTCTTTTGACGAGCGCTAATTCGTCCCTTTCTCGGCTCAGCCATGCGCGATGTATTGTAAACGTTGCGAGTTGACGAACACACTGCGAGACGTTTGTTTCGCGAGCCGTTGCTTTTAATGGAATTAGAGACAAGAGAGTCGTTGGACAAGGGCGAATTAGACGAGGGTTTGTTTCTTATTCGTGATCGGCGACGTACACACGTTTTGACGGTTTACCCTACGAGGAGGTTTCCACAACTGGCCCTCGCTTGTTTTCATGCGCGTATTACAGTCTTATTACTCTCTCGCGAGTAGGCGTACCTCACAATTTTCATTTTTTTTCCTCCTCTTATTTCGTCCATTGGAATGATTCTTGAGTGTGCTGACAATCGGCACGCATTATTTAATATCGAGGGATGCCAACTCGGTTATGTAATTACACTTTTTTGATAAGTGCATTTGAGTGCTGAAAATTGTGTAAATAAAATTATACACATGTATAATATATAGGGTAGTGTGATTGTCGTTATCGCAAGTATTTTGTGATTTGTAAATAAACGGTTACCTTGATGATGGATTGTAAGATAATTGACGGGAGCAATAATTTTGATGATTAGATTATTGCCGTTCACTCCTATTTTATTTTGCTGCTTACTATCTATCAGCTGCGCAATGATAAAGAGCAGTCGAACATTTTCTTTTTATGTTTGAAGAATGACATTTCAAAAGCATTCTTAATAACACTTCAAAGAGAGAAATAAGTGCACTTGCGAGTCAAGCATCGCCCTCAGCTTATTACAAATTCATTCTCCTTAATTTGCGATAGACGCAACAGTCGCAGCCCCATCTACTTTCATGCGTCGAACCTCGCCGGTCATCCGTGAAATGATCGCGCGGAGTGGAGAATAATTATCGTATTGTACTGTGGCGTCAAGCTGCGCGCACGTCGAGGGTGTTTCGGAAGTACGTTAGCCGGAAAATATCAAGGAGTGCTTTACGAGAAGGCGAGCGCGTCGAGGAGCTTTATTTATTGCGCACTTTGGCATTCGCGCGGCGGGCTCGAGATAGTTTACTGCGAGCTCTCGACTCCCGTTGTTGTCCGCCCTCTCCGCGCGCGCGCGCGCTCCATTGCCCGGGCCGATTCTCGCGCGAACGTCGCTGCAACTGCGCGTCCTCGGGCCTGAATTGCTTCATCGAAGGACAGTCGCGCATTTATGCATCTTCCAAAACAAATAGCACAATGTTTTACGTTGAAATTGAATTTCGCTTGCGCGCAAACTGTGAATTCTACTTCATCTAATTAAAGTGTTGTATTGTTTCAGGTATCGATATGTTCCTCGATATCCGGTAGACGTAAGTAAACGAAAAAAAAAAAACATGAATTATCAGTATTCAAAATGCATGCACTCTGCTGATCCGAAATTATCAAGTGTAATAAACAATAGCCTGAGAGATTATCTTGTATATAAATCATACATTAGAACAAAGCCGAGTACACAAACAGGGAGATTAGACGGAGAGTCCCACGCAAGCTATGCGACGCAATTTGAAAATTTTTTCACCCTTCATGCCGTCACGTAGGTATACCTGCTCGGGGCAATAAATTGCGTAAGCCGCTTTTGTTCCACATCGAGCGACGAGCCGTGGCTCAGCATAGTCAAATGTTTGTGATAGATAGGTATGAGATGAAATATTTCTAGTTCACTATGCCTGTCGGTACATGGGCTTTGCGATCGTTTTAGGTCGGGAGGAACAATGAAATATTTCGGACAGAATTTGGCTTTTCTAAAAGGTATACAGTTGTAGCGTGGACTAGCGCGTCGCAGCTATGCAGAAGTTTATATTGGTCACGTTCGACCGGTACTACACGATCATACAAATCCGTCTTCCGTGTCGTTCCAACTGGGAGTATTTTAGGAATACTCTGCGGTTAATTCTATTGCCCGCTTCAAAGTAGAGCAAGGTTTCGCTTTATACAAAAGGCAAAAGGTTTACAACGGCGATAAATTACTTACTAAGAATGAGAGGCGAGTTAGTAGGTTCGTCATTGTACTTATTGTATTCGACTCTTTGTTCATAACTATCGACGCATAATGTGGATTATTTCCAAATGAGATTTCCAAATGGGTAGTATAATAAAATAGCCACATACATGTTTTGGCTAAGCTATCCTGAAGAACCAAGTCTAATCAATATCCGCAATGTCAGCGAGGGATATGTTGGACAGCCGCATTGCAGATATTAGCTATTTTCACTGGATAAAATATATAATATCGCATTTCTTTTTGTGCGCCTGTTTCCCAAAGCGTACATCTGGCTCTTTCGTTTGAAAACTTGCGCGCCTATCTTCATAACACAAACATCATGTGAATTTGTATATACCACTGAATATTTAGTCGAATCTCTTACTCGAGACCTTTTAAAACACGCCAGTAAAAATAACGGCCTGACTTCCTGGACCAGCAGGCGTATTTAGATCCCCGGGAAGTTAATGCCGCGATGGTGCGACGGCGCCTCGGATGAGAGGCGAGGCGTATTGCAATGTTAAGTAATCCCATTGCAGGCACATCCACCCACCACTGTTCGACAACAGCAGCTGCCTTCGTCGCGACTC